CTGGTGGGTGAATATTTGGAATACTCTGCAAAAAGTCTCTATAAAATGATCTGACAGTTTTGCCTTCAGGTCACTTCTATTCTTGTAAACTGCTTTCCTGAAGTTCTGGAAGAAAAGTGATTTGAAGCATGTGATGCCATGCCATATCCCATTGCAAACAAATTTCCCTGGTGTCTATGCCACACACACCATTGAAGCAGTCATTCTATTTTTTTCTGTTTTCTCCAGTCAAATAATTTTGCATTTAATCTGGTGTATTATACAGAATTGGGTAAATTAATATTCTGTTGCAGAAAGCACTTAGAAGTAGTTGATTTGCTTGAAAAGTATGTCAAAACCCTTTTTTTTCCTTCCAGATTTTGGTCAGTGGAAGGCGGGAAAGAGAAGAGAAATAGGGAGGCCAACCATCCAGATGTTTCTGTTTTGAGGAGACAGGAAAGAGATGAATAACAATGTCATTTCAATATAGCAGTTCTCGGCTGATCAACCATTTTGGCCCTGTTAGATATTAAGAGTTTGGAATTAAAAACGGAGTACAGTATGGCCTTCTAAATTTTAGTACCTAGGTTGCTTTTGCAAGCCCAGTGCAAACCTTAATTTGATTATATGGATGTGTAATTTCTTTTAATAATATGGTGCATCCTTTTCTTCTACTTTGATGTGTCCCTTATTTTCTTGTCCATTCCCCCCCGCCTCGCCTTTTGTACAAGTTATGTATGACTCAGAATGCCACATGAGATTTCTGTACCATGAGAAAGATACATGGGCTAACCTAAACTCCAGCCCTAGAACTTGTGGAGGGAAGAGAGAGTGGGAAAGAGAGAAGACAAGCATATTTGTGCAAAAATCCAATCCAGCTGTTAAGGCTGAGAAACAACAATTCCTTAGTAGGATCAGCAACAAGAAGGAAGAGGTTAAGAGAGCCAAGATGAAATATTGTGGAGGCTTAGCACCTACTTAGCTTCAAGGACCCCAATGACAGATGTACAAAACTTCAACCAAATTTATTTAGCCTAGAGAAAAAGTCCTCTAAGGAAATTAACCCTTTATATACAGACACACTTCTTGCCATTTGAAGATGGTCTCATTTTCAAAGAGGCTACCTTCTTCATGTTTATACAGATACTCTTCTGACCTCCTGATCTACTTTAGCATGAAATCCAATTCAAACTTCCTCTTTCCTTGGACCAATATCCAGCAGAAAAGTGCAGGAGGCGGGAACATGGTGTAAACCATCTAAAGTATACTTGTAAAAGTATAGAACTTTATAAACATGCAACTTTGCTCTACCCTGCGAATTCCAGGGCTGTCTTCAACCCATGGTAGGCCATACTGTTCAACCATGATTTGTTGAATGAAGTATGATTGGGTTTGCAAAAGACAAGTAACTTCGTCCAACTCAAAATAAAAATAGTAATGTCTCTTTTCATCAACATCAACTCACAGAGACTTTGTGGACACATCCTTGTCACTTTAGCAACAATGTGAATGACATTTTGGTTTGCTGTCCTATATAAACCTTGCTTAAAGTCTCCCCCCTGAATTTTCCATCTCACATACCAAAGCAATATTTCATAATGGTGACATGAATTTGCAACAAGGCCTCCACTGTAAGAATTAGCAAGCTGGAAAAATCCAGCTATGTAAACCGTAGTATATTGTGTGGTATGCAGCACAAAATCATTCAAATATGGCCCCGTCCACAAATGATTAGCATTGCAATGTGTGAAATTACTGATATGTTGCCCCGGTTGCTATGGGACCTGTTTGCAGCCTGTGATACAGATTTTAGTGCAATGTTTTACCAACAGAAGTGAATATTAATAGCTCAGGGCTGGACTGTGGGGTCCTCAGTGTCAGCTTTGATGATGTTACCTAGTTGTTAATGAAGCATCTGCAAGGAAACAGCCAAGCTCAGAGAACACCAAGGAATCAACTGCATTGTGTCTACCTAGCTAGAAGCTCAAACTAGCCTCAAAGTCCCTCTCCTGGGTATCTCTGGACAGTTTTGCATATGTATTTGATAGACCACCATTAGATATGATTTGTGTATGGTTCACAACTAAAAATATTTGATGCTAATCATGGATCTGTCAAACTGATGTAAGTAACTGCAATAAGCCAAGATAAAGGCAAAAGCTTGAATTCAGCTTCAGTATATCAATACTTTTCCATCCACTTTAAGGATCTCCAAATTTTGCAACTCTAAGACTTGTGGACTTTAAGTTCCAGAATTCCTCAGCTAGTTATGATCGCTGGGAAATTCTGGGAGTTGAAGTCCACAAGTCTTAAAAGTTGCCAAGTTTGGAGAGCCCCCGATTTACTTTAACATGAGAGACAACTCACATTTTCCTTAATTCTCTTTTCTTGGACCAGATTTTTTTTAAAAAAATATCCAACAGAAAAGCGCAAGGGGAGGGAACATGGACTGTAAAGGACTCACCAATATCTCCCAAGACAGCTCTGATATTTCTTTTTTAAAAATCCAATCTCTCCATATTTTTCCAAGTTATGCGCTTTGAAACTCAAATCCCATGTTGGGCTTTTGAATCAATGCAAACCACAATGGATGCCTAATTTCTCCCAGGTTAAGTTTCACACTTTGACATCTTCTCCAATCTATACTGGGGGCTCCACCCAATCCAGCAATGGACAACTTAATCTTTGTTTATTCCACCCCCACCCACCCCCAAAAAAGACATTGCAGCCCACACACCAATAGCCAGCAATCTAGACATAATACATCCCATCAACCCAGCCAGCTGTAATAGATATAAATAATGTATTTTACAAATCTGGACACAATACAAATGCACGAGCATCTAATTCCTCTAGGGCTAATTGCCAAGCGGCTTTACAATCCTTGGTGCATTAATGCTTTCACTGAGGGAACAACTTCAGTAGAATCTCAATATTGAAGCAGCAGATAAAATTACATTAGCTGGAAAAGAAATGCAAGGAGCACAGAAGTAACTATAGAAACAAAAATGGCCCAATTTGCTTTATTGTATCTTGCAAGAGACCAAAAAAATTAATGGCGGAGGAAAAGGAGACTCAAATGACAATTCTCTCTTTCAAAACCCTGATGATGCTATATTAGCTTTGCCTAGGAGCCTGCTCTATAAAATCTCAGAAGAACTCAGGCAGAATCTTCTTTCAAATATCACTGTTTATGTGCAAAACTCACAACATAGAGATGATCTTGTCAGATTTCAAAGGCATTTTATTTTTTAAAAAACCAAATAATAGATGTTTGATGCCTATGTACAACTTCTGGTAAACCTGAGTCTCATAATAAGCCCATAAAAAGTAGTAGCCTTCAAAACAAAAGTATTAATTTCTATCCTCAGAACAAAGCTTAATATGGCCTGAAAAGGGATGCAATTATGCTTTTTCCATCTTTTAGATATAAATAGCAATAGCACATAGACTCAAATACTGCTTCACAGTGCTTTATAACCCTCTCTAAGCAGTTTACAGAGTCAGCCTATTGCCTCCAACAGATATAATCCTAATTCCAATTCAAGGATTTGCTAAATTTGGGGGGCTAGTGGAAATGATCTCAGAAGAGACAGCCATGTATGCTTCTTAGAAACAAAACAAGTAGCAATGGCAATAGCATTTAAGACTTATATACCATCCCACAATGCTTTACAGCCCTCTCTAAGTGGTTTACATTGCCCCCAACAATTTGTGTCCTCATTTTACCCACCTCAGAAGGACGGAAGGCTAAGTCAACCTTGAGCTGGTCAGATCAAACTCCTGGCTATAGACAGAGTTAGCCTGCAATCCTGCATTCTAACCACTGCGCCATCACAACTAAAAGAAATTTGACTCTGCTTTAAAATACCTAGCTTGATATCACTAGACTGTTGTTTCTGCTGTTAAACAACTTTTATTATTAAGAAGTTTTGTCTAACATTCAACCAGAATCTCCAGACCTTCTTTGAAAGGATTCACAAAGGTTTCATTACATTTCCTGACTGGAGATAGAAGTGTGCTACTCCAAAATAAGCTACACTAGATGTTTCCTGAGCTAATCTAGGGTATCAGGAGCATACAAGATTTTTGATATTGCTTAGATTTATGTGGAATAAGATTTTTGCTTCCCTCCCGAACCATTTATAATTAGGAGAGTATTGTAACACCCCAAAGCAGAGTTTCTTAAAATAGAGTCCAAGGATCCCTGGAATCTTCCAAGACCCTCTAAGTGGTCTTCAAAACCAAAATGAGTTGCCAGATATTTGCAAAATATTTAAATGATGTCATTCTTCTCCTTTTTATTTTAACTTGTTAAAAATGTAGCATTTTTATGAAGGTATTTATGTTAGTACCTGATGGGTTTTAGTATTGTTATTTTTACATGATTCAATAAATAAATGTTTTACAGATGCATCAATTTTAATTTTTAATAAGGTAAGTGAAGATAAATGTAACACACACACACACACACAAAGGTCTTTGAGGGTCCTCCATACATTTTAAAAGTAGAAAGGGGTCCTAAAAACAAAACCCTTATAAAACATTGCCTGAAAGGAAAGTCAGAAGCATCCTGAACAATGAAACACTAACTCTCTCTACAACAATAGTATTTTTAGATGGAAATATCAGTTCTGTGGCTCACGCCGCTTGCTGACCTTTCGTTCTTGCACTACAAGCATCATCTTTTGATTTCCATGTTTGATTTATGTTATTTGTATGCTGCCTTTATTATTTTACAGAGAACTAAAGGCAGCAAACTTACCCAGCATACCTTTCTCCTCTTTCCCATAACAACAACCCTGTAAGGTGGGCTGGAGTGAGAGTGACTGTCCAAGCTGGCTTTCATGCCTAAGGCGGGAGTAGAATTCTCAGTCTCCTGGTGATTGGCCCAAAGTCAACCAGTCCGCTTTCATGTCTAAAGCGGGACTAGAACTCACGGTCTCCCAGTTTTTAGCCTGGTACCTTAATTATTAGACCAAACTGGCTATTACATTTAAATTAGATAAATTAGATCTTACTGATCATAGTGGTGCCTCCAGCCAGGGCTGCTCTTGTTCCTTGGAAGAAGTCATCAGCAGAGGTCATTCCTTGGTCAGGCATTTGGAAACGGGAGTGGACATCAATTCCTCCAGGGATCACCATTCGTCCATGAGCCTCGATGGTTTTTACCCCTCCTGGCACAATAAGGTTCTCCCCTATTTGTCTGAGATAAGAAGCAGTCTGGTTATCAGTATCATAAGCACAGAAAGAAGCATGTGTTCAAGGGTTGTTGTTTTTTTAAATGTTCATTTTCAAGGAAAAAAACCAAGAAGATCCAGTGCCCTTCTGAAAGGGGAAAAAAAAAAAGCATTGGGTCTGCCAAGAAAGCCTTCGTCTCATAAGAGTTGCAGCAAATGCCTTGAAAAAATTCCTTTCAATGCAGACCCTGGAATGTACTTTTACACTCCTAAATTACAGCCAAGTACACCACCAATTCAGTTAACAGCCCAGAAGCCAGGCAAGAAATGCTGCAATTGCTCTTTATAATTCATGTCTTCATAGCATATTTCCACCCAATAGGCAGAAGTGCCAGGATCTAGACTGTGTGCTGGCAAGGATGGGAAACACCAAAGTCTTCCCATGCTTGCCAAGTTCTCAATCTCTGTGGTCAACCTTAAATCTATATTTATATATCTGGACTACAACTCAGTGCATGTTTTCTTTGTGGCAGACTGCGCTAAATTTAATGATCTCAAGAACTCAACCCGAAGTCGCTTTTTCTACTTTTTCTTCCCTTAAGCATCAGCATTTATCTCAACGCTTCTGTGGAGCCCAGTGTGTTTCTATGATAAGACAATTTTTTACTTAATTCCGTAACAGAAACAAAATCATCAGCTACTCACTTTATCAACCCATCTTCCATATAAATGTCTGCATAGAAGGACTGGTCATCGTTGACTATTTTGCCTCCTTTGATCAAAAGGCGATCACTCTGAAACACAAAGACATCAAACAATGCATCAATAAGAACAAAGGGTTGGATTTAGCAGAACAACAGAATCGCTTTGGAAGGACTTTGGAGTCCAACACCCTGCTCAAAGAAGAAAATCATGTAACATTTCGGACAAATAATTGTCCAATCTCTTCCTAAAAAACTTCCAGTGTTGGAAGACCCACAATTTCTGGAGGCAAACCATTCTACAGATTAATTGTTCTCTCTGTCAGGAAATTTCTCCTTAATTCTAGGTTTCCATCCATTACTTCTTGTCCTGGCGTCAGGTGCTTTGGAGAATAAGTTTACACCTTCTCTGTTACAGGTCCAGATGAAGACAGCAAGTATCTCTGAGGACATTCCATATACTGTCAATCAAGTCAGCTATTTTGAAGCAAAATAGCTCAGAATCACAAATAAATGCCTTTCAGCAGTCTATCCCTGAAGTGTGCTTTCGAGAAAAAAGAAGCTACATTAATTGGTTGACCTATTTTATTAAACTGCATCCACCAGTTAAAAATATTTCAAGAATCGCACAAGGGCCAAGCAACTGTGCTGTTTTAAAAAGGAAGGTAAACATTCTCCTATGAAATGCTAATTTTGCTGCCAGCTTTGTCCCTGAAATCACCCACAGGGGTTAAAATCATCACTTGATTCTTTCGAGTTAAGGGCTTGTCAAGGAAACTGACCAAATGGTTGTTGCCGTGGAAGTTGGCACGCCAAACGGATTTTTCCATCTGGATTTTTAGCAAGGTTTGAATCAAACAGACTGCTTTGCCCCTCTGATGAAGCTACTGCATGTTCCAGAGAAAACAAATCTGCTCACAGCCTTTAGAAAAAGTGGACGGGAAAAGGAACAAATCTAAACAACGGCATTTCTTCCACATGACAAGATTCTGCAGGAACTACAGCAATGCAATTAGTAAGCCGCATTACATGAAAATGGGATTTGTTGCTGGTCGTTTTTGCGCCTTCTGCACACTAAAAATCAAGAAAGAAAGTTAATTAATGTCTGTTGGTGACATTTGGATATTACGCTGTCAAGGCTTTCTACTGCTTGGCAATTTATAAAGAAAATGGGCTAATCACATCTTTAGCAGCGTCAGTGATCTAAAGGGACCATAAATTGGTTGACTTTGAGCAATTTTGGGGGGTAGTGGCTGAAGCCCCTCTTCCCCATCTTTCCTCAAGCTTTCTTCCCTAGCAAACACGCCTGTTTTGGAAGTTCGTCTCAGGATGCTTTAGAATATTGGTGACCTTTTTGAATACATTTTGTTATTAAGTCAGAGTTGATCCTGTGCCTAAGGAGTATGTCTGAAAGAGGGCCTTTGTAATGACCCAGGGCGGGATACAAAATAAACAGTCACCAAAAAAAACAGGTGAAGCCCCTTTTATTCCTTCACTTTGCTTCCAAGCTCCAAATATCCTTGACTGGAGACAAAAAACTCCCCCACAAGCAGTTACAAGAAGGAAGAAATGCCACTTAAATTATAAAAAGTAAAAAACAAGACAAACCAGGCAAGATGAGGGCTTGAAGACATCCATAGATATCAGAACACACACTGGGAAGGACACCAAACTCAAGAGAGGAACAATAAACTAGAGATATTTCCACGCTTTGTTTCCAGCACTCGCCCATACGCATGTCCATCCTCTTCTTCAGTTGTCACAGCTGCAGCCCATGAAGAGGATCAAGGCCCTCTCCTCCCCAGTAGACCACATCTCTCCCTTATCCTCTCCTCCCTGCTTGCCCTAGGATGGAGAGGGGATGGACCTGGGTCCTCCTCTGACTGCCCAGCCGGCCTCTGCCCTTCCCAGCCTCCTCCACAACCTCTGGAGCCACACTTCCACTTCCTGTCGTCTGTTCCTCCTCTCCCTCAGAGTCAGTCTCCACGAGGGGCACAGTTGGGCTTGTGTGTTTTCTGTTATGCATTACCTGTAATGTACCTTTTCTGCTTTTTCAGATCAGGCTTCCTGGGAGATCCAAACAGCTGGAGAAAGGATTGTGGGTTGTCCAATGAAAGATGAGAACACAAAGAAAAGTGCATTCACCCACCCTTCTCGTGCCCTTTATCGCTCCAGCAAGCAGCACAGCTTTCCATCCAACCTTTAAGAACCCTTGTAATTCCAAACATTATCCCCCTTTTGGAAAACAAAGCCAACCTTATTTATTTTACTTCCATTTGAAAGGGAATGATTTTTTAAAATCCTCAGATGTAAATCTGCACTTATATAAACTCATCAACCTAATTTGCTTGATTCCAGAAGCAGAGAAAGCCCAGCTGTTCTTTTGTTTCTTACTTGGAAAGTTAAAGATAAACATTCTACTTAAAAAAAGATAAAGCAAAGCCCAGAAGATTTTAACAGATTTATTTCTTCTTTAAACTGTAACAGAATAGAAGCAAAACCTTAATTTAATAGACCAACTATCTCTTGCTCCTTTTAGTCCATTAAATTACAAATGTCCAACTATATTATAAATTACAATATCTGTAACAATTTGCAACCAATCATATCACAATGGAAATGATGTAAATTATCATAAATGATGCATCTTTGCATAGCCTTGGTGGTCTCTGAGCTGGGCTATTTTCTTGCAGACGTTTCAATACCCAAACTAGGTAACAGCATCAGTGCTAGTAAGGAATGAGGCTTGCTCCCTAGCACTTACTAGCACTGATGACGTTTCCTAGTTTGGATAATGGAACCTCTGTAAGGAAAAACCAAGCTCTGATAGCACCAAGGACCTCTCATTTTAACCCTGAGCTACAAATATTCTCCTTTATCAGTAAAATTTCCTCTTGATATAACACTCTTGCCTAATTTGAGGGGAAGAGAGAACAGAAATGTGGATCTATTAAATCGGGGGTCTTCAAACTTGACAGCTTTAAGACTTATGGACTTCAACTCCCAGAATTCCTCCTCCAGTCATGTTAGCTCAGGAATTCTGGGAGTTGAAGTCCACAAGTCTTAAACCTGCCAAGTTTGAAGACCCTTGTATTAAACTGATTACTTGTTATACAGGTAGTCCTCAAGTTACGAGCACAATTGAGCCCAAAATTTCTGTTGCAAAGTGAGGCATTTGTTAAGTGCGTTTTGCTCCATTTTACAACCTGTCTCACCACAATTGCTAAGTGAGTTACTATAGTTGTTTAAGTTAGTGATATGGTTGTTAAATGAATCGGGCTTTCCCACTGACTTTGTCAGAAGGTCACAAAAGGGGATCACATGATCCACGGACACTGCAGCCGTCGTAAATATGAGTCAGCTGCCAAGCACCTGAATTTTGATCATGTGATTATGGGGACGCGGCAACGGTCCAAAGTATGAAAAACAGTCATAAGTCACTTTTTTCAATGCCATTGTAACTTTGAATGGTCACTAAATGAACTGCCGTAAGTTGAGGACTACCTGTGTAGATGTACAGTATCCAATTTAATGTTTAATGTGATGGTTTTGGTCATACAATTTAAAGATTTATTGATAACTTGATCAATGCTATGCTGTCGTTGGGGCAGGAGGTGGGAGTTGGGGTGTGTGATTTTTTTATTTATTTGTTTATTTCTTTTTTTCCAGATTTTTTTCTATTGTACTTTATTAATTTATGTGATTCTTTTTGTTAGTTTTTATTGTTTTTTTAATTTTAAATATGGTTTTGCGTTCTGTAAGCCGCCTCGAGTCGCCATAGGCAAATAGGCGGCAATACAAATGCAATCAAACAATGAATGAATGAATGAATGAATGAATGAATGAATGAATGAATGAATGAATATCACCACCCAGATACTGGGGACAATGCAAATGTTTTCAATAAGTAAAACAAACAGAAGGTGATAAGTAAACCAATTCTTGCTCTAGGCTGTCTTCTCCCAATCTGGTGCCTTCCTAGAAATCCTCAAAATTGCAAGCCACATGCTGGAAAGGAACTCTGGAAGGTTATGATCAGAGGTGTGGTATTCAGCAGGTCCTAACAGGTTCTGGAGAACCGGTAGCGGAAATTTTGAATAGTTTGGAGAACCGGCAAATCCCACCTCTGACTGTCCCTGCCCCCATCTATTCTCTGCCTCCCATTGAGTCCCAGCTGATCAGCTGGGTCTCCTTTTGTTGCCCTGCACAGGAGAACGGAGCTGGAAAGCAGGTTAGTGGGGTGGGGAGGGAATGGGGATTTTGCAGTAACCTTCCCCTGCCACGCCCACCAAGCCACGCCCACAGAAACGGTAGTAAAAAAAATTTGAATCGCACCACTGGTTATGATCCAAAACACCTGAGCAATACCAGGATGGGAAAGGCTACCTTATTATGTAAGCATCAGAAAGCATGAAACAGAAAGTTTTTTAAAAAAATAGCTGCACTCATTTACCTGGTGTAAAAAGCAGGGGTCCCCAGCCCCTGAGCTGCGGCCTAGTACCGGGGCCACAGCCTGTTTGAAACCAGGCCATGGTAGAGATGCTCAAGCGAGTGGAGTTTTGCTCGCTAGTGCAAAAGTGCCTACAGCTAGCCTGAGGAGAGCTTCGTGTGCAAGTGCAAACACCTTCCACTCCCAAACAAAGCTCCTTTTGTGCGAGTGGAAGACGTGCGCACCTGACACTTGCACACATAGAGCTGTGCAAGCGCATGTGCGCCTGCCACTCACACCTCACTCCTCCCCACGCCTGGCCAGTCACCAAGCTGGAAAGGTTGGGGACCGCTGGTAGAAAGCATATAATTTTATTGAGGGCATTACAGTTGAAACTCTGGAATCTGCAGTTGTTCAGTATCTCAAGAAACATAACATCTGCCTCGTAATTTGGACACTGGAAAGCAAATGTTAAATATTATGGCTTAATTCTAGCCAAAGACAACTCAATATGTTCAAGTACAAAAGTATGCGATCAGTGCATTGTCACACCTGTATTGGGTGAGGAAAAACTAAATCTTTCAAAGACAAGCAAACAGCTGTATGTCTTGCTATCCATCCTGGATTCAGTGAAAGCTTTGGCTGTGTTTGTTTATTTTTTTGT